AACAACAACGAGTAAATAACGTCCACCAGCTTTCATCACAAACAGCGAGAAGATATTGAGAAGAAACAACGATGACAACGATGGTTACAACGACCACAAAAGAATGTTTGGGTATGTTGGTTTTTTAAATCCAAGCTAACCACTAAAAGGACGGACCATACAACGACACCCTCTTCAACAACAACGAAAAAATATCCTCCTTCAGTCGCTGAGCTGCGAGATTTCATGGAGCTCCATGCATTCCCTGCGATTGTTCATATCGGAAATAGACTTTAAATCGAACATTCCACCTGTAAGTAACCTTATTACGTTTGAAAAATGCGTTAAAATTTGTTAAATTTAATCTCCGTTCAGAGACATTTCATGGAACTCCAAAGAATCTCTACTCCCTTTCCTATCGGAGGTGGACTTCAAACATTCCACTTATGAATAACCTAAATATGTTTTTTTAAAATTTTTAAAGACTTATTATTCACATCACGCTATGCAAATATCGGAAATGCTACTGATCCAACTCAACGAAATATCTCACAGAGATCAGGTTTCCTCTTACAACGAGTTCATCACTGGAAAACAAAAAAGCTTTTGTTCCTTTCTTTTTTTATCCCTAAGATTGTAATCATGTTTGCTTCTGCAACTTGTTCGTCCCACAAAAACAGAACCAAACCAAACAAACAATAAACAAACAAAAAAAAGAAATCCACAAAAAAATGATCAAATCCGTTCCTTTGTTTCAGCCATGCCCGGGGTGCTTTATTTCAGGAAAAAACAAGGCAAAGATATCGCATTCAAACATCATCAGGTATCGATCTATATTGGATTCGGTTCGTGCATGACGGAGTCGATTTTCAGATAGCGCGAGGAAGGGACTTGTTGTTCAGAAATCGTGCGCGTTGTGAAGTGTGCGCTCAGTGACACGCAGAGTAATACACACTATAAGAATAATAAATATTATTCTCTTCATGAAACACATTATGACACACCGCAACACGCATCCTAACACGCAAAACAACACACACCAAAAAATAGTACATAACACAATTGATAACACATTCACTTCAATGCATACCATAACACACACGCACAACACACAGCAAAACATTATGACGTTATAACTTGATAACACACACGCACCCCCCCC